CCCACTTATCCTGAATCCCCTGATTACCAGCCGTGTCAAAAAAATGATTAATACAGGACTTAGTTGAAAAACATCCCTCTCCATTCCCTAACCAAATCCAGTAATCGTCCTCCTCAAGAGAAAGTGAGATGTTATTCAATATAGAAATTAGCTGCAACCATTGTTCAATCTCCCAATCCACTAGATTTCTTCTCATTTGAATGTCCCACACCCAGCCTGCTGCATTGTTCACCCTAAACTATTATTCGAAAGTGCATACAATCTAGGGAACAAGTCTTTAAGAGGGACTTCTCCCAACCAAATATCATGCCAAAACTGCACAGAATGCCCATTTCCAGCTTTCAAACGCAAGTTTCTCCTAATGCAATCTCCAAACTCATCACTAGAAAAGAAGTTATTAATCACACCTCTCCAAATCCAAGAGGCTCGAGTTGTCGAAGTATTCCCCAACATTTTGGAATTCAGATCCAAATTGTTCACACAACAAACCACCCTCTTCCACCAAGAATCCTTTTCAGAGAAAAAACTTCCAAACCCACTTTCCCATCAGTGCTCTGTTCATAATAGTTAAATTCGGAATCCCTAGACCCCCCAACCTTCTCGGTTTACTGACCAAATTCCAGTTCACCCAATGTATGTTTCTTCTATCTGTCGAACCCCCCATAAAAAAGCAGCCATGATTGAATTTAATTTCTGCAACACAGCTTTTGGAATTCTAAAAATAGAAAGGAAATAAGTGGGAAGGGAGCACAACACTGATTTAACCAACACCACCCTACCTGCTAACGCTAAAGAGTTAACCTTCCAACCAGTCAACATATTATGAAACCTCTGTACTATTGGCTCCCACATTGCAAAAAGAGTTTCTCTTGGACCCCAAAGGCAATCCTAGATACTCTGCTGGAAAATTACCCACTGAGCAGCCAATTTCATTAGATCAACCAGCTAGCACCTCCTCCTCAACATTTATTCCAAAAATTCTGCTCTTGACTAAATTAATCTTCAGTCCCACCAATAACTCATAGATCAGTAAAACCCTTCTAATATTAATCTTCTAAATATAACCCATCTTTCCCTTTGGAGAAGAGGCCCCACCACCTAGAAAAAACCAGTTGATCACATTCCTGTCTAACTAAATTTGTGCTTTCTTGTACCTTGCTAGACCCTTTAAAGGCACATTCTTGAACCAAACAAGGTCCCTACTTTGAGACCACTGAACGATTTAGGTCTTTGTATCAAACACCTTCCTTTCTCATCATTTTCATGGCAATGACTTTACCTTCGAGAGAATTTTAAGACAGTGAACGTTCTTTCTCTATATGGGTCATGGCAGGGTGCGTAGGTGAAACTTGCAGGCTAACGCTCAAGTTTTTCATTCTTCTTGAGGTATTTTGTGGAGCAGTCAAAGTTAAGAGTTGAAAAGTAGAATTTGGCAGTAAACTTCAGCTGTAAACAGTGAGGTAAATTATAGTTTTGCTGCTGAGCAAGAGTGAAGTTGGAAGTCTAGCTGTAAGAGCCAAGTAAGCAAGCTGAATGGTAGTTAGAAGGGGCCTCAGGCCCGCAGTAAATGTCTTAAAGGATTCGGTGACTGGAGATTGAACGATCCTCCAAGGGGTTGGGGCTTCAATGGAGCTCGAGGGAGAGTGAAGCTACAGGGGATTCAATGGTGCTACCATTTCTTGTTCAGCTTTGGTGGAGATTGTATAGAGAATTTATTCTGGGTTTTGGTTAGATGTCAGTACTAATATTTTAATGTTACAGATTGACGTAGGCTCAATAATGGTAATAATAGAATCAGTCAAATCATAATTGCCTGAAGATTCACTGACAGCATGAGGCAGTCTAGGGCACTGGTAATTAGATATGATTTATGAGGTGGCTTTGCATATTATTTTCATTGAATCACTGTTGAACAGGTAGTTCTTTTTTTTTTATATAATAATTTTATGTGTAGCTTTTATCTTGTTTTTCGGGATTATTTAATTATCTGTTGGGTTGAAACTTCTTTTTCAGTCTTACCTAGCCATTTGTTTACAATGATTATAACTGCATATTAATTGTATATTATGAATGCATTGTCAGAAAGTTTGCTACACTTGTTCGCAGTCAGTTTCAGAGGAGTCGGTAGCTCCTAATCTTTGTAAGTAATTTTCTTTGGTTTCAAATGACAATTTCATCCCCTTTACTTTTTGGAATTTCGGTCGTAGCTTGTGAATTTTTGTATGATTATTAGAGAAGCTGCGTCTCTATGTGCAAAATTTTCCAGCAAGGCTAATATGCATAGATTAGTATCTTATTGGTATTAAGAACCCATCTTTTTGTGCCTGCACATTATTTCCCAGGTTGTCAGTTTGTGGACATATTTTTCTTGGATGTCTATGTTTATCTCTTACACACACGTATCATATAAAAAGCTTGGTCAACGAAACCGAGGCTCCCTGAATATTAGGTGATTTGCAAGACATGGTGAAACTTGTGTCGTTTCAAAGGCTATTAATATTTTTTAATATGCAAAAGCTATCCATGTTCTATACTATATTTCCGTTCTTTAGACATTTAGTTATTTCCTTTTGTTAATGTGCAAGAGCAGCTCTCCGAGCTGCAGTGCAGGCATTTCGTCAGGAAGAAGAGCTACAGTTCTACCGCTCACCTAAAAGGAGGAGAGAAAGATTTGATCAGGTTTCTCTTTTTTCTTTCTTCCTTTTGGAGCTTTCAAAACTCTTGCTGAATTTGATATTCCTCTCCAGTGGCTTGTGCATTTTAATTTGCATGCCATTGCTTTTACCCTTTCTGTTCTATCTTCGTTGATTCATTCTTCTATTTGTCTGTTCATATAGGATAAGAGTAGCTATGGCGAATCAATTATGATGGATCTTCCAAGGGGTAGGGGTGTCCAGTTTCCATTTGCTGTGACAGACCGGGTTATCATAAAGGTACAAGTGCCGTCTATTTTTTTGGGGGGTTGTAATGCCTGTTTTAGATGACTGAATTCGGTGACTGGAGATTGATTGATACAGGGTAACAAGAGGACACCACCACGCTTTGTTGGACGTGAGGCTGTCGTAACTACACAATGCTTGAATGGATGGTTGGTAACAACCTTATCTTTTATCTCGAGAATGGGTTGCATGACATGTTATCAATATCGGATTCTACATTTTACATGATTTACTTAATTGAAACACGGGGTCTTGCTTCTTCTTTCTCGTCCGCACACACAAACACTTTATATTAATGATTACAAAATCTTGAATTTCCTCTACCAAGATATAGATCTACTGGTTGGAAAACAGAGTTGGCATAAAAATAGCCCGAACTTCTGTAACGGGTATGCTTTATCTAGAGCCTAAAACGAGTCATTCCGTTTTGGGACTCGGTATTGCCCTGAATTTCTGCTTCAGCTCGAATATGTAGAAATAGAAACTATCCATATCGCTTTATCATTAAATTTTGGTTTGCAGGTATGTGGTGAAGACGTTGGACAATGCAGAGAGTGTTAAACTGCAGTATCGGTCGCTTGCTAAAGTTGCAGACGAGACATCATCGTCGAAGGCAATGTCGAGCAAGGCGGGACCAAACTGGTTGTAGTTCACCTGCGCTGCAATTCACTATTACATGGGGCATTGCCAAGGTTCGATATTTAATCTAACTTCAAATACTTCTCTATTACTATTACAGTATTTCATGAAACCGAACTTAGAATGTAAATTACAAAAAAGGCTTCTCCCACGTTGTGTAGTTTCAAAACCCCTAAATGTAATCATTTTTTAATTATAATATATAGAGAGAGTATTTTTTTACTAGCGTAAATAAATTCTAATATCTTTTAGTACAATTGATTAGATATTTATATTTGTCACACTATACAAAAATATTTGATGCAAAGAAAATATATTTATAAAATTTCATTTTACAACTTGTGTGTGGATTGGAAGAGATTTTTATACAATTTTTTAGTCTCTTGATCAAGCAAGTATTGTTTTTTAATTATTTTAGTTCATAATTACATAAAAATATAAGATAAAAACAGTTTAATAATAATTTTATTTATTATTTTATTTAATAATTATATAAAAATATAAGATAAAAGCGTTTTTTATAATAACTGATGTTATTATTTAAAAATAATATGTTTTTTTTCTATTCTTCTAAGATTATTATTTATTTCTTATTGAATTTTGGTGGAAAAGATTTTAATACCTATGACAATTTAATTGGGACATATTTCAAACTTCATTAATTTTCGTTTGTAATTTTTTTAAAGTTTATTTGAAATTTATTATAAAACACTTTTATAATGTAATTGGAAAGACTGACTAATTAGACTCAAATAGAAAGGGTTTTAGAGTAAAATTTAGATTTTTAAAAAATAAAAATTAATTTAATTATGAATTTTTAAGAGTTAGCTTTATCATTAGACTATCTTTTTAATTTAAAATAAAATTTTAAGAATACGTGCACATTTCAATCACAAAAGGATTTTTTTTTTTATTAATTTAGAGTAAGTACAAGATAGTATATGTTCAAAGATAACATTAAACACTCATATTCCTAATATTCATGATGTTCAAATCCGAAACCTCAAGAAATAACAATTCTTTTATCACTGAAATTACTCAATTCATGCGCAAAATGTTTTCTCTTGAGGTTATTTAAAATTTTAAAAATATTTTTTCACCATTTTTCTTGAATTGTAGTCATCAGAGATCACAAATATAAAAATGTTTCTAGAGATGAGTAAATTATTCGATGCGATCAAGTTGGATATGAGAATATTCAAATTTTATGTATATAAAAATGCCCCTAGTTCTCATATTTAAAGGGAGCAAGAGGAATAAAACTATGGAATTAATCAAAATCATTAAAAATTGAACAGAATGGTTTACCTTTTTCTTAAAACTATATTACGAAATTGCAAGAACATGGGTCAAAAAGTTTGAAGAAATTTCTATTTTAAATTTATTTTTAAGATTGTAGTTGGGAACCTTAGAGTGCAACAATTAGAATCCTAACATCAAGTTCTGCCCCTGTGCTCTGAAGGCTTACAATAAAATTGAAAGAAAGAACACAGTTCTAGGCTTCCAGTGTTTTAGAAATTCACAACCCAGAAAGGCCAAAATCAATCTGATAACTACTTTGCATGATGAACATAAATGTTTGTAGGACAGATAAAGAAAGATCAATCCAAAGTTAAATCAGACTAGCGGACATGCTACGTTCTCCTTCGACGACATAAAATCACAAGTCGAATAAATGGAAGCCGCGGCTGCCCTGACAGCCAATTCCCTGTCAAAGCTATCCCCCATTGCTGATCTGTATCACAACATGTTCATGACTGTTATGTAACATGATGAATTATCAATCACCCCACACAAAAATGCACAAGGATATAGTTTTGAAGATTCGATGATGAATATAACACAACAAACCACTTTGGGATACAAAGTTTCAACATTTTTAGTTTTCGTAAGAGATGATCACTCGTGGGAAGTTCCAACTAAGGCATATCCATTATCCAACAATCATAATAACAAAATAAGAACGAGACTGTACGCAAACCTGATATTATTTTCTGATGCTCCTAGTTGTGGCAAACCATAAAGCAAATTCCAATGTATATGCTGCAAGCCCTGATCGCAATGTAGTTGCATCCCTTTTATTTGGTTCGACCAGATTTCCTGGAATATAAGTGGGAAAATGAGATGGATTACAAATATCCTTTTTTTGGTACACATGAAGACTCTACTTAAGTGTACATAGATTGAGAAGAAAACATACTTGAAGAGGTAAAATTCAATTATGTAGCATGATGAATGATCAATTCCCTATTTTAATCAACACCTATGGTGCCTGGCTATACTAAAATGTATTACCATATTATCCACCTTTCATGCTTGCAAGGGATTATTATTGATAAAAGAATAACTAGGTTTAGAATCAGACAGTATTTTCTAGTGAAACCTCAAGTACATTCCTCTAAATAACGATAAACATGCCAAGGTGTTTGCAACTTACAAGCTGTTTCTCTTCTTCAGAAAGAGCTTTATCCATCTGATCAAACAGTGCACTCCATCTTGCTATATGCATCTCGGCAGTAGCAGTGTGCGAAAACCCATCAGCAGAAGATATTACAATATTAGGATCACCCCCTTTGTTAGAAGAGAATTCTTTTGATATTAAAAAAGGTAATTCTGTGGTAATTACAGCTCGCACTTTCTTCTTGCTACGTCGCAATGCTGCAAGTGCAAAGCATAATACAAGAAACAAGGTAAATAAGTCATATGCTATGTTAAGAACAAATTAAGTGATAGGAAAATACCTGAAAGACGTCCTTTAATGTCTTGCTGAAGAAGTTCCAACCATTGAGATGCAACAGTGGCAGCTGAAACATCAATGTATCGTTCATATCGTGAGGGAATTATAGAGAAAGGCATTGACTTTTTTCTCTCGTCGGAGTGGGCGATGAAGGGAAGGTTAATTATAGAGAGTGATTGTAAATCAGTAGTGGATTGGATTTTGTTGCCGACTACATCTCCTCATTTTTTTAGTTCGATGATTCAGAAAATTGTTTCCCTAATCTCGGAGAGGGAGATTATTGTTAATCACATACCGAGGAGCTGCAATTGTGAGGCTGATACTCTAGCTAAACAGGGGATTGGATGATTAATTTTTGTTGCTTTATAGGTTTTTCAGTAGGGTTATGGTGGCCTAATGAGGTTGTTGGGGCTGAACTAGTTTTGTTGTTTAAGGGTGGTCTGGTCGTGTTGGTGGTTTTGATTTTATGTTCTGTAATTTTTAAGGTTCTGTTAGTTTGTCTTCTGGTTGTATTTTATGTACTTTGCCTTGATTAATAAAATCCTAAGGCACTCTTTTCCTCATTCCGTTGATTAAGGAGCTTTCCTAAAAGATCCATTAATCAAGAAGGAGGTTTTTAATGAGGCCTGAAATTCTTATAAAAAAATATCGTGAGGGAATTCTTTTCTTCGTTACAATCACCATATAAACATGAATCATCTTTAACAACTGAAAAATACAAATTCTGACCTTTAACAGAAAGAGAAGAGGCACTCGTGAAGTTCGTTGATTCCTCATTAGACAAAGGGTTAACATTCTCAGATACCTTAGTTGATGATGATAACTTCAGTTCTAATGCATCATCCTCACTGATTGGTTCCACCATGCTTGAATCACCATCTCCACTCCTTTCCTCTGAAACTGAAGAAAATGGCTGAGACATTGGCACTGGATAACCTATTGCTTTCTTGTTCGTATTCATAATATTTGGAGGTCCATCTTCATGGAAACAACTGAGATGATGAAATCCTGTGTCATCCATATTTCCACGATCCCTCTTACCATCATCATCTCTGGTTCCACTTTTGACATGACTTGCCTGCTTGCTTTCAGAATGCAAATTTTCATGTTTTTCAGACTTCACTAAGGCTTCTATTATGGAATGGACCTGTTTTCGATTTCTAACATGATTTATAATTCCAGGGTTTAATCCATTGAGCAGTCCGCTTGGGGCAGCAATTTTTGTGAACCTGTCTACCTGTTCTTTCTTTGCAAGATCCATCTTCTTCTTGAGCATATCATTCTTACTTTTCCTCCCACGTTGCTTGGGCACGGGTATTCCCCCATGAGATGGCAGTAAATCATTTTTCATAGGCATAGGTCCATGATAAGATGAAAGCAAACCACGTTGCATTGATATACCCCCATGAGAAGAAGAAAGAAAACCTTTTTGCTTCATTTCTTTCCAAACTCGTAACGAGTCTTTCTCCTTGACTGGACCAATAGAACTTCCACACTCTGAAACATCCTTTGGTTTCATATTCTTGATATGTTTGTGACGAATTGGTTCATGGTTTATCGAGCTAGAAACATCTTTCACATTCAGATCCAAGTTAATGCCTTTCAAGGGTAGACAATTACTCTCTTGTGAACAAGGTTCGTCAAAATTTTCGTTGAATTCGGGGTTATTATCACAGGATTCGTTGACTGGGATGTCAGAGTTAAGATCAAGAGGCGGACAGTTAGAATGAGCCATTGGAGATACCTTTTCCCCTTTATTTCTTTCAACTTGAGAACCATCAAAATTGAAGGTTACTGGAACCTCAGTAACTTGAGATACTGCTGCTCCACTAAACTGCCATTGCTGATTAGAATCTTTTCTTTTCATAGATTTGAATTCTGACCATTGATTTCTGTTGCATAAATAAATGAACTTTACAGAGATGCTAGTGGCTTGGTACAAACAAAAACACTTGCATCCTTGCATAACATTACAAATTTTAAGAAGCTTAATTTACCAATAATTAAAAATAAAAAACAGGGCGAATAAAGTGTAAAAATTTACCCTGGGAGCGGATGACAGAACCAAGATCTCTCATTTTGATTCCCTTAGATGGAACATCATGTTTTCCTTCCAATTCATCAATGTTTCTCTTCACACCCACCGTCTAGAAAACAATCCAAAACCAAGAAAATGAAGCATAAATTTCAAACCCCAAAAAAGGAAAAGAAAAAGGAGCAAAAACCCAACCTTGGAATCAGATCTAGGCATCAAAACCGAGCCTTTAGAAACCATGGCAGAATCGGCTTGGTCTTCCATCTCTTTGAAAACCCCAAATTTTAAATTTCAAAAAGTTCGTGGGGTTGAGAAAGAATCAAGAAAAGCTACAAACTTTGGAACAAATAGAGATAGTCGTGAAAAGGGTTTTGGAGATTATGTAAAACTGAGAGGAGAGGTAAAAGGGAAGAGAGATTGCTGAGGGTTTTATTTGAATGTGATTGTTAGTTGAGAATGGGATTTGGTGTTTGAATTTGAAGGAGAGGGAGGGAGATCGGCCTTTATATGATCAAGAAACGATTTTGTCTTAAGAAATGCAAAGTAGATGGGATTTTTGAAAGTGAAGTTCATGTGATTTGGTGGTTCAAATTCAAATACAATGTTTAATGGAGGGAGGGAGATTCAACCCCGCCTTTTGTAAGTATTGTGTGCCCATTTCTCAACCCTTTTGGGCCTATCCTTTGTTTGCTTCCCTTTTCCACGTAAAATGTATTTTCTCAAAACTTTCTACTACCTACTTTCTTAATCTATCGTTTTTGTCCTTTTTAATATTTAAGAGAGAAGTTAATCTTAAATGAATTGTTATTCAAACTGATTTTAAGGTTAAGTTGAAAATTAAGCAATTATAATTTGTTAATTATGGTTAAGTTTTTCTCCATTGATAGAATTTAACTCTATAAGCATGAATGAACCTAGAGAGGGGCGGGTGGAGGCAATCGTCTCCCCTGTAAAAAATAAATTATTAATATAATTTATATATTTTCTGTTGAAAATATATTTTCGCTCCCTCTAAAATTTATAAGTATGCCTCCCTTTAAAATTTTTTAAATCCGCCCCCTCTAACATAAAATTATACATCCGTTCATGTATATACGTGCAATTTAATTTTTTTTTAAAGTGTGGATATAGTACATATTCCAGAGATGGATGAGCACCTAGATGTATCTGAAAGGTTATTTTTAAAATTTGATTCCTTGGTTGCAGGTGTATTCGTGACATCGGGAAACATCTCGAAGAAACTGTTCTTTCAAAATTACATGATAATTATCAGTCTGTCTTAAAGCAGCCGATCACAAGTGAAGAAGATGATATGGGTAATTCTTATATATCTCTTTTCTTCCAGCTTTTACACTTCAATGTTAAGTCGTCATCACCTTTTTTCTGTGCATGTTCTTGTGACTTGAAGTTAATAGCATGTAGTTGTTTGAATAACAAGACGAGGCAAAACTTGGTTATGCCAGAAAACCATGTTATTCCGATTCATCATTTTTCTTAAAGGATCATGTTCAGTACATCTGGGGATATGATCTTCAGAATATATTAAAAAATGCGGAAAAAAGATCGAATATACTAGTCCCAAAGACTTGATTTCAACACTTCTGGATTTGTTCTTCATTACATTTTATTACATCGCAACTAGTTCTTTATTAGCTTTACACCTTAGCAGGCTTCAATTTGTTCTTCTCAAGTGATATGGATTCAAATGCTCATTGACTGCAATTTTGTCATGTGTACATTGTGCTTGCTGATGATTGATTTATGTCGATGGTTTTAAGTTCCAGAGCCACAACTAGACACGTTTGTTGTTGCCAAACGTGAGAGAACAACGAGACCTTTGAAACTTGATGGCTGTAGGCAATCTGCAGGCTTTGACAGCAGGCAATTTGCTATTCCTTGCTATTCCTGCTTCGCTTATAGCTTAAAGCTGTTAGAAATAGTAAAAGTCTCCATTTAGGTTGCTTGCTAACAAAGCTGTATCTTCATGTAGCAGGGATGACCACTTTCAAATGGTACCGGGAGATCTATGCATTTTACGTTACAGGCCATTTGAAGAGGAGCTGATGAGTGGAAATATCAGTTTAGTTTGAGAACCTAGCAATACCAGCAACTTAAAGATGGTATAAAAACCGAGACTCTTAGACTTTTACAATTTGTAAATAAGAATTTGTTGTGCATATAGGTTTCTAGGTTAAAACTGTCTGTCAAGGCTTTTCTACTATGAGTTAGAGAGTTTATATTTAATTAGTTTTAGCCATAGCTTAAACTAAATATTTTTTTTTTTTGTCAACAATATAATGAGTTCACAGTTTGATTGAATGGTTAGGTGTTGAACCACTATTTCTTTAGTCTCTAGTTTTAGTCTTCTTATTAGCACATTATAATTTTCTTATTTTTTCACAATTTAATATTTTAAAAAATAGAAATTAAACACATGTTGAAATAACAATCACACAAATATTCTTCCCCTTCTCTTCTCTTCCTTTTCTTTTTAGTTTTTATTTCCTTCACCAATAATCACTGTTTTGAAAATCGGACGAACCGGCCGGTTCAACTAGAAACCGTTGCCTAGTCCGGTTCAAACTAAATCGGTTGAACCGCTATTAGTGAGCCGGCCAGAACCGTCGAACCAGCTGAAAACCGGAAAAAACAGGAAAAAATCAGAAAAAACAGCCAATTTTGTTTTTTTTTTAATTAAACCAAACGACTTCGTTTGTTAAACAAGCCAAGCCGAACTCGAGTATTACTGAGCTCGACTCAAACTTTAAAAGTAAGCTTAACTCGACTCAAACTCACGAACTAAAAATTATAAAGTTCAACTCAAACTCGAAATATAATATTGAAACTTGAACTCGAAAAAGGCTTGAACTCAAAAAAAAATTAGAAGCTCGATTGAAGCCTAAAATTTGAGCTTGATTGAAGTGAAAGAATAGTTTACTCTATGCTCACCAAAAGGCTCCATGATTTTGAATGTCAAATTACCTCTATTATTTATAGAAGTTAGTTGGGATGCTATTATATGTTTATTAGCTATGTGGGATTGTTTTGTTCTTATATTTTTACTCTTTAGACTTTTGGGATGTTCTTCTATGTTTCTTAACCATGTGAGATTGTTTTTTTTTAAAAAAAAAATTAAACCAAACAATATCATTTTGTTATGATTTTTTTAGCCCCAAATTTATTTTTTAATTATAGTTATATAATTATATTTATTATTTAATATGTTTTATCTTAAATATTATGTTGTAGTTAATTTGAATTATTTTGTTTCACTTGATTTTATGGTTTTAACTATATATGTTATGACTTGCTTTGAATATGACTTGTGATATACAAAATTATTTATTAAATATGTATTTTGTATTTTTATTTAATTTTTTAAATAATTATGACGTCGTCCGGTTCTTCCAACCGGTCGGACCGGTTCGACTGGTTGAACCAGTGAACCGATAGCATGACCGGTTCGTTAACCGGTCCGGTTCTGAAAACCATGCCAATAATTACCCTTCAAGTATTAAGTGTAAAATGTGTATTTAGTAACCTATCTATTTTTGTAGTTATATTTTGATCACTCAACTATTTTTTTTCATAATCATATTAAAAATTATCTTTTGGTAGCCGTCGTTAAAAAATTAGAAAAACTACATATTTAGTTATCCATCTATTTTCATGGGTCCGTTTTGGTCACCTAACTTTTTTAAAATCATACATAATATTATATTTTGGTTACACGTCGTTAAAAATAAATAAAAATATTGATGTGTTATTTATTTATTTCAATAAAGTCGTGACATTATATTATATTGATATTATTTTATGGTGACACATTAATATTACTGTTAATTTTTAATGATAGGTGATTAAAACGGAATAACAGAAATAAATGAGTGACTAAATACGTAAGTACCTTAAATAATTATTTCGTGCTTCAAAGGTGAGCACCATTTTACCGGCTATCTGACACAGCAAAAGCCAAAAGGCTTTCTTCATGGCACCAACTTCGATGATTGAAATTTATTAATGACATAAGAAAGGGTAGGTAAAACCAACGGTTGTTATCACTTCAATCACGTGGTGTGCCCCAACGCCCTGTAAATCCAAGGCAGCAAAAGCAGACAAGTTTGCTGAACCTTTTGATCCAACAACTGCAAGTCAAATGGGAGAAAATCACATGAATCACAAATGACAAGCTCTTAACCTACCTAGCCATCGACCACGTCTGCCCATCTATGACTTAGATGGACCAAAATGTTAGCTATCCCACGCTGAAATGCTGATGTTATAAGTTTCTGCCATTAATGATTTGGTATAAAAGAACCAGCACTCTTTAATTCCCCATTGCACTCTGAAACTCAACCAGCTTCGCCCTTTCCTTGCTTCCTTGCCTGCCTTCAAACTTCTGCAAACTTAGCTAGTAAGTTCAATTTTAATGATGCTCTGGTTTATACCATCTTCTTTTCTTCATTAGGTTAACATGACTTGCTGGTTTCTATCTCTGTTTTCTTCATTTTTCAGTGACAACTGAAATGGTAATGGTTGATGAAATCCCTTTCCCGTCCCAAATCACAACTACCAAGCCCCTCTCACTTTTGGGTCATGGTAAGCCTCTTTCATTCATGTTTTACTTTTACATGATTTTTGTTAGAGTTGCGTGACTTAAAATATTTTAATCGGGTCTGAAATGATTAGAAAGATGCTTGAATAGAGTTTAAAATGGGAACTTACAGTGACGAACAGAGAAGTTCAATCTGTGTAAAACTCTATTTTTCCCTTGACACGAACAGAGAAGTTCACTTTATTTTTACTGTAGTTTTACCTTGCTTACACTATTGCAATCATTTAGATTCAACAATCTACATTCACTTGTGGGACTGCAACAGGGATTACCGATATTGAGATTCACTTTCTGCAAATCAAATTCACGGCGATTGGGGTTTACCTTGAACCTGAAGTTATTGGACACTTACAACAATGGAAGGGTAAGCCTGGAAACGTGCTAGCAGAAGATGATGACTTCTTTGAGGCTCTTATTAATGGTACAACAACAGATCAATTCTTTTCATTTATTCTTCAAATCTGTAAAACAAGTGTCATTTAAAACAACTTTGGTCACAATTTGCAGCTCCGGTGGAGAAATTTCTGAGAGTTGTGGTGATCAAGGAGATCAAAGGATCCCAATACGGAGTGCAGCTAGAGAGTGCTGTGAGGGATCGATTGGCGGCTGTCGACAAATATGAAGAGGAGGAAGAAGAAGCCCTGGAGAAAGTTGTTGAATTCTTCCAGTCTAAATACTTTAAGAAGGATTCAATCATCACATACCATTTTCCAGCAAATTCAGCCACTGCTGAGGTATGTTTTTGAGGCATACCAGTATATCTATCCTCGAAACCAACCATTCATGCTTTAATGTGTGTGGGGGCGCTCGTGTGCGTGAACAGATTGCATTTACGACAGAGGGAAAGGAGGAAGCGAAAATCAAAGTGGAGAATGCAAATGTGGTTGAGATGATCAAGAAATGGTACTTGGGAGGAACTAGAGGAGTGTCTGCAACTACCATTTCCTCCTTGGCTAATGGTCTCTCGGCCGAGCTATGCAAATGAAGCTATGCTGCAGTCATATCATGAAGTTAATGGTCTTTCCTACAAGGTTGTCTGATAAACATTCTCTTTGTTGTGCTGCTGTTCTGTGCCAATAAATTTGATATGCAAGTTGGTTATAGTTTTGCTAATTTAGAACTTCCTTTGATTGTGGGAGAATCTGATTTCATATTTTCAGATTTTCTCGATTCCCTGTTAAAAGAGCCATATAGCACAAAATCATGATCACTCACCCTAAAAGAAATTCTTCTCCACAGATAAAGTAGTTTGCAATTAATTACGGGTAAATTTCACTTATGGTCCATTACCCTTTATTACAGTTTCATTTTCATCCGTAACTTGAAAATGTCACCTATGATTCAACCCATGCACCAGTCAAAGATTAAAAATTGAACTTTTAACGTCCATGTAAGCATAATTTGCCAATCTACATGCACATGAGATGGCTAACATTCTTTTATATATATAGTAAAGTAATACCGTAAAAGTAAATAACAACATATTTTCACTTCACATTCTATAATTATGACCAGTAAAAGAGAAAAATTCTAATTGTCATCAAATAATTCTTTATAATATTATTACTCTTTCCTGTTGCTGGATTTAGATTCTCATGAAATATTTTTTTTCCTCGAATTAGAAAATGAAATAACAAATACTTTATTGTGGAAGAAAAAGGAGTATAAGAAAAAATTGTAATAGAGGAGGAGTTATGAGTAAAGGAAGGATTGTAAATGAGTAGAATGTTTGATGAATAATCCGTATTTAGTTGACTGAATTAAAAAAATCGACATAAATAACTATGGAAATGTCAAAAGAATAATTGGAGAATTTTAGAAAGAAACCAACCAGACTGTTAATCTTACAAGTCGTCAGTTTTCTTCTCTCTGAATATGAGCTCAAACTTGAAACAACACCTCACAGACGTTCTTGGTTTCAAACTAATGGAGGCAGTACATATTAGCAGTGTAATCGATACAGTCACAAAATTGAATACCATCGAATGTCGAAAATGTTCGTGACAAGTTGATCTGACATGACAATAATAAAGTATCGTTCAGTGAAATCAGAATATCATTATTAGAAATATTACTGTAAAACGAGGCATTAACAACAACAAATTTAGGTGGAGTTGTGAGCCTTCAGCTGCATGCCATGTGGAATCAACAACAAGAAGAACAAGACCTTTGGAGAAGGAAGATTACTCAAGATGTGTTCCAAGCCCTGATGGCTATGATCACACTGGTTTCTACAAGAGACAAAGAGATGTTCCAAGCTCAAGAATTGATCACTGAAGTCGTCGTTATAACCTAAGACTTACAGTCCCATGTGATCTCAAGTAGGGTTATAAATGAGACGAGATAAATCACGAGTTATTCGAGTTTAACTCAATCAATATTCGAATTAAATGGATTCGATTCGAGCTTGAATTTAACTCAAGATAATATATAGGATTTTTATGTACTTAAGATTCATATTTAGGTTAAGGTTTG